TTTTTTTTTTTTTTACATTGAAGTAACATTGCATGTGTGTATCACAATTTGGACCATGATTCATCCTTTAGCTTCACTCAGCTGAGCATCATCAACATACATCTTAATTAAGGTTCTGCTTCTTTTCTCTATGTCTATTCCTCCTCTTCACTGATGCATGACAATCTCTAGGGCTGTCCCGAATACCATTTTTTGGGCTCCAGATATTCGGTAGTAATCAGCAGCGAATATTCGAATATTCGTTCCGCGGGGGGGTAATCAGCGTAGTAATCAGCAGCGAACCGTTTCGACACGTGTATTTCGGTTTATTCACGGAATTCATTTTGTTATTCTACAGTATTGTTGTTTTATAGTTATTTGTTAATGTAACCCAATTTGTGTTCTTTGAAATTGAAAAGGATATTGCATTGTATGTGTTACTTTCGTTGCAGTTGTATATGTCTTAAGTGTAATTTGGCTTGGCTTTCTATTTTGTATGGACATGCTTTTATTTTGAAGGAGAGTTAGCGCAGTTGACAGGAAGTTGTTGTTTCTATGGAAACAACGTGACAGAGATTAATGGAGAAAAAGTAATATCTACATATAAAGATGGAGAAAGTAAACGATAACGTTTATGGTTAAGTGTTGCTCTTACGTTGATATTGGAGATTTCAATCAATTAAAAAAAAAAACGGGAAAAAAAACGAATATCCGAATAACGAAATTGAAACCCGAATAGTACTCCAACGAACGAATATTCGGATATTCGGGTACAGCCCTAGGTCTTCATCATGAATATTAAAAGAGCCAGTTGTGCAGATGGCAGCCATGTTAGTTGTTTGACACACACCCTAATTCTCTAACATAGGTAGTTATTCATTCAAAAACTTTGATTGAGCAAACAAAAACAAATTGCACTTACACCTGTGTATACCACCGATACATTACTAAGTCAGTTTGTGATTCTTTTCGACCTTTGTCGAGTATTTACTGTTGTCCTCTAGGGGTCACTTAAGGTCACAGAGGTTGCTGGTTAGAAACAGTGATGTAGTCTCACTTTAAATAGGAGGAAATGCTATTTACGTTCATTGCTACCTGTGACACTGAGGTCATGTCTTCCTTTTTTTCTCTGAATTTAGGAGTTTAGAAAATCTATGGAAATGTACATTATGGGTAATTATTCAGCTAATAGAAAGAGGCATTATATTAGATTTTTTATTTTTAGTCTAGCCAAATAAACAAATAGAAATTGTAATATTTGTCCACCAGAATGTTTTGAAAATTATAATATTCCAAAATGATTTAGAACACTTCTGGGGGAACCCATGCCCTCAGCATTACTGAAATCCTAGCCGCTTTGAGAGTACTGACTGTTGATTATCAATGCCTGCTTATGGAACATGTGCTTGATCTGTCACACGTATGCTTCATGATCCAGCTAACATTGCAATGATGCTATTAAGTGCCAGTCAACAGTATATCAGCTGAACAGAAGGTCAAACTGCCCTTGCATCCCTGCACTATGTCACCTAAAGATGCCCTGGCAGGACCTCATTGGACTGGGAATGCACTCTCTGTGGGTCTGAAGCTGGGTGGCAGTGACTGGGATGGGCTCGTCTGCTTCTACTAGAGCCTCTTTCTGCTGCAGTGCCATTTGAAAACGCTCCAACCCTTCTGCAGTGTGCCGGGGCCCAGAACTGATTTGAATGACTCCCCAGTTTTTGCCCAACCCACACATCACTCCGACGTGCACATCACACCACCGCCGCCCTCGTAGGGGCATCCAAAAGCACCTCGAGTTAACGGGCCAACAATTAAATATATGCGTCTAAAAAAAGAGAAGAGAGACCTGCTGCAAAGAGGAAGTCACCGAGCAGCGGTCAAGGATAGTGTAACGTCAGCAGGCGAGGAGATGGTGGGTGCGGCTGCCGGAGTGTAAGCGTTTACAAAATATATTAATGTTTAAAATAGGCAGACACGCACACACAGGAGAAAGTCATTGGGACCGTCTCTCTCTCTCTCTCTCTCTCTCTCTCTCTCTTCTCTCTCTCTCTCTCTCTGTGTCTTCTCTCTCTCTCTCTCTCTCTGTGTCTCTCTGTGTCTGTGTGTCTCTCTCTCTCTTTCTCTTCTGTCTGTGTCTGTGTGTTGTGTCTTCTGTCTTGTCTCTGTTCTATCTCTATTCTCTCTCTCTGTCTTCTCTCTCTCTCTTCTCTCTCTCTCTCTCTCTCTCTCTCTCTCTCTCTCTCTCTCTCTCTCTCTCTCTCTATGTGTCTCTCTCTCTGTCTCTGGAGCTAAGATCTAAAATTGGCCGCGCTTGATGCATTAGCTCTGTTAGACTAAAGCTCACAGTGGAAAGCCAATGATGGGGAAAAGAAAATGGAGACAGTTGATCAATCACATAGATGTCTAAATCAAATTTAAAAGCAGAATAAATGTTCTACTCACATGCTTAGTAACTTTCCATAACAAGTGGAGGGAAGTAACTAAGTACTTTTACTCAAGTACTGTACTTCAGTTACATTTGGAGGTACTTGTACATGATGTATTTTTGCTTTATACTTCTATAATAAATAACAATGTATGGAAATAGATTACACCTCCTTGCAGCATAAAAGCATTTCAAATACGCTCAGACTTTACCAGCTGTGACAAAATAGGGCTGAACACATTGATGCATCAATAATAAGAATCTAATAATATATTTTATGGTCTTCTGCTTATGGATACTTTAAAATGTTTCACTTTAAGTCTATTTTTGTACTTTTACTGAGTCAGATTTGAAATGCAGCACATTTACTTGAAATAGAGAAATATGATAATGCAAATACAAAATGTGATAATGCTACAACAAGATAAAGCACGACTAGCGAAGGTGACACCTTGATATTTACTATATTATCTCATCTATTTTTGGCCAGGAAATAAGTGCAGAGTGGAATAATGGCCACTTAACTAATCACACAAACTACAATAGGTGCAGCTACAGTGCAGCTGCACCTAAAGAAAGCTTTGATCATTTTTATAGAATTTAAAACACACACAAAGCACCAATGAAACTGTTTTTGCTGCATTACCTCCAACAATCGGTAATCGTTTTTCACATTGAACGGAGTGACCGGAGATTAGAGTGAAACGCAGAGATTGATGGGAGATCAATACCCTGGCCACCAGACGGGCGGCCCACACCGATGCTTCACTGCGTCTCAGCAAATGAACAGAAAAACCACAATTCCCACGTGGCTTTGCAACTACAAGAGTCAGGATTCTACATCGAAAGCTTGTGCAAGTAGAAATGTTAACACTTACCAGTAAAGCTATATCCACTGTACAATAACGGCCACTCCCATATGAATATATTAGAACATATCCAATGTATTACAAGGATCTTCACATTAAAGCACCCACATGTGCAATGTCCTCTCGTAAGGCTGTCGGACAAATGTTTGACCTTTGATGTGGCAAGAAAATGAATAAATTGCTATTTAAATTAGTTTCTAGACATGAAAGGGTCAATTCAAGAATCAATGAATGGATTTAAGTTATTTTGAATTGAAAATAAATAAATGTGTAAGTTGTAATGATCTGTATACCAGTCAGAAATAACTTTGTTTTTGTTGTTATGTCTCTTTCATCACTTTTGAATGCTGTATAACATGTGTGCACTATTACACACTTATTTTATTAAAAAAAATTAAAAAAATTAGGCTACACAAGTCCTGCAACCACAACCACAACTACAACACTTCTAATGGAAAAGACAGACTCACATGATCGAGCTGGTGTATACTCAAGTTTAAGTGACAAGGCGAGCATGGCTCAACAGTCCTTAGTCAGCAATATTCAGCAGATACACAGAAAAACTGTCTGTTAAAATCCATGCATTCATTGTTCGCTTCAATATTGCTGTCATTTCAACAGAGAAAGTCTTTTTTATATAGAAAATAAGTAGCTGTTCGCTGTCCATGCTGAAATAAAAGCAAAGACTCGTTAAAATGCATATCTTGATTAATTAAATAATGAAACAGATTTTTTGGGGGAGATTTCTGAATGTTTTACCTTTGAAGCATTGGGTGCATTATTAACTTAAGGGTACGGTTTGTCTTCAAATCAGACTCCCACACAGGTCCCACAGCCCACGTGGTTCAGAATGAACGGGGGCCCGGACCATTCGCAGACCGCCTGAGGGGGACGGCCCCTCCCCTCCCTTCCATCAGTGGACGAAACAAAACAGCTTGGACCTGCCTTGTTAATGACAGAGCCTCAGATATATAAGGAGCCGGCGAAGGTTGTGAAAGACGCTGAGAGCCATACACCCCTCACCTGCACACACACATAACACACATACACCCACATACACACGCCTTCACCTCCTGCACTCTTCATCCCCGCCACACATCACCGGACGAGTTACACGGTGGACACTTCAGGGAGCCCATTCAGGAGAATTATGGATACTAGGACGACCGGCTACGGCTACAGCCGCTCCGGCAGCTCCCCCTCCAGCGGGTTCCGCTCCCAGTCCTGGTCCCGGGCAAGCCCCGGCTCCACCATGACCACGTCCTACAAGAGGAGCGTGAATATGCCGGTGTCCCGAGCCTACAGCTCCACGGTGCTCAGCTCCGCAGATAGCGGTGACTACCAGACTTCCATGATGAACGGAGACTTCAAGCGATCCAATGAGAAGGAGCAACTTCAAGGGCTCAACGACCGTTTCGTTGTTTACATCGACAAGGTGCACTACCTGGAGCAGCAGAACAAGCAGATCGAGGACGAGATCCAGGCGCTGCGCCAGAAGCAAGTGTCCCGCTCCCAGCTGGGCGATCACTACGACCAGGAGCTGCAGGATCTGCGGTCCATGCTGGAGCAGATTCACCACGACAAGACGCAGATCCAGCTCGACACCGACCACGTCGAGGAGGACATCCAGCGGCTGAGGGACCGCTATGACGAAGAGGCTCGCATCCGGGAGGAGACCGAAGCCATTATCCGCGTCCTGAGGAAGGACATGAGCGAGTCGGAGTTGGTGAAGTCGGAGTTGGATAAAAAAGTTCAATCTCTGCAGGATGAGATCGCCTTCATCCGCAACAACCACGAGGAAGAGGTGAGCGAGCTGATCGCCCAGATCGAGGAGTCTCAGGTGACCGTGGAGAGGAAGGATCTGCAGAAGACGGACATCACCGAGGCTCTGCGGGAGATCCGCTGCGAGCTGGAGGGTCACTCCAACCAGAACCTGCAGCAGGTGGAGAACTTGTTCATGTGCCGCTACTCCAAGCTCACCGAGGCTGCAGATCAGAACAAGGATGCCATAAAGTCCGCCCGTGATGAGATATCAGACTACCGCCGCCAGCTCCAGTCCAAGACGGTGGAGTTAGAAGCCATCCGCAGGACAAGAGAGTCTCTGGAGAGGCAGCTGAATGAAATCGAGGACCGCCACAGCAGCGATCTGTCCAGCCTTCAGGTAGGAAACAGCCACAGAGCCGTGCGTAAAGGCGGAACACACCGTTGAAATATGCTTTTCTGTACATATGCAACTTATTTTGTTTATTTATGTGCGATAAACTTAAAAAATATGGTTGCAATCTATGATGGATTATTATTCATATTTAATATTGTGTATAGCTTATTGACGCAGTTTTTATTCAAGGGATTTAAGAGTAGCAAACTGGATAAAAAGGATCGTATTTGATCATTTTCTATATCGTGTTTAGGTGCTTGTGTGTCACATTTTTTCTGCTGCGTAATGATTGCTACAGTATGGGCTCATACTTTCTAACAAAATCCGTCTCGTGCCAGGAAATGGTTAAGGGGAGACACTGCAGCAGACAAGCCCCCCCTCTCTCCCTCTCTCTCTGTGTAATGCTGAGTCAGGGCAGAGGCATGGATCGATGCTTTCATTGGCTCTGCATGTCCTTACATCTCCCCCTTTAGGGGCAGGGGTGGGGGTGTATTAACAATAAGTATGGAGGATGTACTTGAAAAATAGGCATTTAACATAATACTGTATTGCGGCATAATGTATCAAAGCAACCGTTGTTGGTGCAGTGTACAAAGTTTACACAAACATGTGCACAGATAACAATTGGGGCTAAATTAACAGTTTTGATACAAAATGTTTTTAGAAAAAAATCGAAAAGGTACCATGAATAATTAATTATGATATTTAAAGCTGCATTAATTAATCTGAAAAATGGACGCTCTGCAAGTCATTGTTTGTACTTCATCAACCTTGGGTTGGGTCTGCTCTGTTTGTCCTCAGGAGACAATTCACCAGCTGGATAATGAGCTCAAGAGCACCAAATGGGAGATGGCACGTCACCTGCGCGAGTACCAGGACCTGCTCAATGTCAAGATGGCATTGGACATTGAGATTGCTGCATACAGGTATATACGGACATGCATTTAACATGTACAAAGTACTAGAACAACTTTATTTAATGTAATGTTATACAATTTAATGTCATTTTACATAATTTTGTACAAATCTGTTTCTTCCCAGGAAACTCCTAGAGGGCGAGGAGACTCACTTCAGCACTTTCCCCTATCGCCAGGCGGTCACCCCCACTAAAGTATTTAAGTCTAAATCCGACGCTCCCAAGATTAGGGTGCAACACAAGTTTGTGGAGGAGATCATCGAGGAGACGAGGGTGGAAGATGAGGCGACTGACCTTGACGAAGCCCTGGCAGAGATAGCACAAGAGCTGTCCGCTACACTCGGAGGTGGAGGAGACGAGGGAGAAGAAGAGGAGGGGGAAGAAGGAGGTGAGGGAGAGGAAGAAGAGGGTGAGGAGCAAGAGGGGGAGGGGGAAGGCGTTGAGGAGGAAGTTGTAGCCGCCACCAAGCCAAAGTTAGCTCTAGCGCACCTGCTAAGGAGGAAGAAGAAGAGGATGATGGAAAAGATGAGGATGGGGAAGGAGAGGGAGGTGAAGAAGAAGAGAAGGAAGAAGATGGTGAGGGGGAAGATGAAGGAGAAAAGGGGGATGATGCAGAGGGAGGTGATGAAGTAGAAGGAGACGATGGAGGAGAGGATGAGGAGGAAATTGAGGAGACAGTGCTCTGCTCCAAAGCGCCCGAGTCTAAAGCCTCTCCTGACCAAGAGAAGGCTGGAGACAAAGAAGGCAGCGGAGGAGAAGAGGAAGCTGGTGCCGATGAGGAAGATGGAGAACAGGACGAAGATGCCGGCAGTGACAAAGCCTCCAAGAGCGTAGACGAGAAAGAGGATAAAGAGGATGCTGAGAAAACCACAAAGGAAGATAGCAAAAAAGACGAGAAGAAAGAGGAAGAAGTTGTAGCCAAGACAGACGCTTCAAAAACAGAATCTGCAAAGCCCGAGTCCAAGAAAGAAGAGGCACTCAAAACTGAGGCATCAAAACCTGATTCCCCAAAGTCTGAATCTCCTAAACTTGGATCTCCAAAGTCTGAGACCCCTAAACTTGGATCCCCAAAGTCTGAGACCCCTAAACTTGGATCCCCAAAGTCTGAGACCCCTAAACTTGGATCCCCAAAGTCTGAATCTCCTAAACTTGGATCCCCAAAGTCTGAATCTCCTAAACTTGGATCCCCAAAGTCTGAGACCCCTAAACTTGGATCCCCAAAGTCTGAATCTCCTAAACTTGGATCCCCAAAGTCTGAGACCCCTAAACTTGGATCCCCAAAGTCTGAATCTCCTAAACTTGGATCTCCAAAGTCTGAGACCCCTAAACTTGGATCCCCAAAGTCTGAATCTCCTAAACTTGGATCCCCAAAGTCTGAGACCCCTAAACTTGTATCCCCAAAGTCTGAGACCCCTAAACTTGGATCCCCAAAGTCTGAATCTCCTAAACTTGGATCCCCAAAGTCTGAGTCCCCTAAACTTGGATCCCCAAAGTCTGAGACCCCTAAACTTGGATCCCCAAAGTCTGAGCCCCCTAAACTTGGATCCCCAAAGTCTGAATCTCCTAAACTTGGATCCCCAAAGTCTGAGTCCCCTAAACTTGGATCCCCAAAGTCTGAGACCCCTAAACTTGGATCCCCAAAGTCTGAGACCCCTAAACTTGGATCCCCAAAGTCTGAGTCCCCTAAACTTGGATCCCCAAAGTCTGAGACCCCTAAACTTGGATCCCCAAAGTCTGAGACCCCTAAACTTGGATCCCCAAAGTCTGAATCTCCTAAACTTGGATCCCCAAAGTCTGAGACCCCTAAACTTGGATCCCCAAAGTCTGAATCTCCTAAACTTGGATCCCCAAAGTCTGAGTCCCCTAAACTTGGATCCCCAAAGTCTGAATCTCCTAAACCTGAGTCCCTTAAATCTGAAATTCCCAAGCCTACATCTCTGAAGCCTGAATCCCCAAAAGCAGAGTCTCCCAAGTCGGAATCTCCAAAACCTGAATCTCCTAAAGCTAAATCCCCAAAGACCCCCCTTCCCGAGACCCCTAAAGCCGCTGAAGAGAAATCAGAGAAAAAGAGCGACCTAACAGAGAATGTTGAAAAGAAGGATGTTGCCATGAACGGCGATGAAGACAAGAGCAGCCCAGAGGAGAGGAAGGACGAGGAGAAAGAAACCGACGTGGTCTCTAACGGCGTTGACGAGAGTACGGTCAAAGAGGACGGTAGCCAAAAAGTAGTGATCACCAAAACCGTGGAGACGATCACCACTGGAGAGGATGGATCCAAGCGCGTCACCAAATCTGTAACTGTGACCGAAACAGTGAAGGACGAGGTGGAGGAGGTGAAAGAGGAGGTGCTGGTGTCCACCAAGAAGACAGAGAAGCACTCCTCCCTGTCCATCAAGCAGGTGACAGAGGGCGAATAAGCGGATTCCTGACCGGCGATCTTGCAGAGATGGGCAAGTGGAGATGACAAGCAATCAACCCAAACTAACATAACAAAGAAAACCATACAGCTAGAGCGATGTAATAAAGATAACAACTCTCGAACATACAAAACAAATCATAGAGAGAAGCCAAACCTTAAATGCTACGAATTTCAAAAATGCATGTTGAGTGACAGCTTTAAACGGGCTTTGCTGCAGTCAGTAGCAAGCGACTGAGACATGTTATCCTCTTTTTCTTTCTTTCTGCAGTTCACGGGCGAGCTCACAGGAGGGAGGGAGGGGGGTCTCTGCATGCAATAGCTCAGGAGAGGGGGGAGTACTTCACTTCCTTATCTGTATGTATGGTAAATACACTGTAAAAAGAGTAAATATGTAAAAGGAATAAATGTAACGTGGGTGGGAGAGTGAGATGTATAATTGAAGTTGAGTTTTTTTGACGTTATGTAAAAGGAGTGGGAAAGTAGGTGGGAGGGTCCCCAAGTGCTCTACTGACGACGCCTTACTTGACACGGTGACTGAGCCAAAAAGAAACTAACAACACAACGTACAGAGAAGAGAGAGACAGGCAGCGGTATGATAAACACATGGCCGTAAACATCCAGTAACTGAAGCAGTTGAACAAACATGAAGAAACTCCTTAGCCTTAAACACGCTTTCTATCAGTGTCTGTTATGTTCACTGAGTGCAACTGAAAAAGATATAACTGTAAATGTGCATTTTCATGCGTTCTTGTATGCATAGGATGGACTTGAATTTAAATACAGAAATAAATGAGGTGCTACTGTTTGCAATCCCATGACTTTACTCATCATGAACGATTTCAGCATTTGCTTAATAAATGTCATAATGAAGAAAAAACTAAAAAGAGTGTGTCTGTTCATTTTATGTATCTGTGTATGTTTAGCAGTTGTATGTTCTCACATTACACAAGAGGAGTTACATTAGTTGAAAGTACAACAACTTTAAAATAAATGTTTGATTATTTAATTAATGGCTTTAAGTTAAAAAACATATATATTCCAATGTGATCCAATGTGGTCAATTTGTGCAATTAAAATAGAACTCAATGACAGAATATGAATGATAGCAAACTATGGAAATTACGATTATTAAATACTAAAAGGTAATATAACCCCCCCCCCCAAAAACAAACAAAAACAAGCTGACCGCAAGACCAAGCCAACTACATACAACATTTGAAACCTCAACATTGTAAAACCTGAAAAAACATCTTCCTTAACCCAAAGACAGTAACTAAACTAATCCAATCTTTATAGCATGGTCACTCAAACCTCATCAAACATTCCAAAAATGATATACACACCTACATTTCTTGAAAATTGCTCAACGGCAATAACTTAAAAGGAAATTCACTAAATAATTAAATTAATTTATATAAGTAACATCCTTGGTAGATAACTTAACAAATAACATTATAATGTTCATATATTCATAATAACATATTATTGAAATGTAAGTGCTGCTTTTGATCATAAAACAATTTTGGTCTGATTATTTGCAGTTTTGAACACATTTACCAATAATGTTATTTGATTAAAAAAGGTTATCAATCGAGGATTTAACACATCTGATCTACTGCCGTTCCAGGATATTGCTTTATATTAATGTCATTTATCATCATGTTTAGGGGATACTTGATTTGATAGTGTGATAATGTTTGACTGCATATTAATTTCTTATGGCTGATGGGTTTTTTCAGCTTGAAGTTGGACTGCTGTTATTCATGGCAAATGTTACCACACTGATAGGCTGGGTGCAGTGAAATAACACTTAATCAGTGTCTAAAGTGTAATTATATTTTTTAAAACCCACCAACAGTGCTTTACACCATGCTGAGCCTGCTGCTGAAGACAATCTACATTTACCAAAGGGAGAACAAGAACAGAGCATCTGTCCATCCAGAAAAATGGCATAGAATATAGCAATATAAATTCAATACAAGAGGTGTGTCCTATTACTTGTCCAAGTTAGCTATACAATGATGCATGGATTTGGAGTCATTCATTCACATTACATGGAAGTTATGGAAAATAAATACAACTTTTTGATACAGAACAGCTGCATTTTCATAAGAATATTCATGTAAAAAAAGATAGAGGAATAACATCTAATAAAAGAGGTCTGTCCTACTTGTCAAGTGTCACCTGATATAAAAACATACAAGAGTTTTAAATGAATACACTGCAGAATGTCCAGAAGCAAAACATCCATATGTAATGGAAAAAGCCCTAAAATCCAATAAAAACAGATGTGTCGTCTTTGCCCACCGTAGTAATACAATAGAGTGGCGAAGTCACGCCCATCTACTTCCGGTCCATGGGACCTTACTTCGGAAAAATTATGTATTGAAGTCAATGGAGAGAGAAAACTTATCTTTCGATCCCGTTTTAATTGTGTCACGAATTACACATATGATGTTTGTCAATCTTAAAAAATAATTTCCATGTCAAAAAAGTCACAGTTTGTCGTAAAACTGTTGAAATATAAGACTATGAAAAATACGCAACTAGAAAGACTACAAAGTACAAATCTCAGAGTCGCGTAAGTGATGTCATAACTGATGTCACAATTGTTTTCCTCCGCTAAATATAAGAGATAGCTAAGATAAGATAACTTTAACAAGATGCCTGTATGCTTAGTACCAGGTTGTTATCATACCAGCAATGGGTCTTGCTCGTTCTTTCGCTTCCCGTCTGATGAAAGGACCAGGAGTTGCTGGATCACGTTAGCTACCAAGCAAGCACGTTAGTTAGCATTACAGCCTTAGCCTTGTCATTTTTATTAGCCTTAACATGAAGTTACATTAAGTAACCCAAAATGTTAAACAGTAAGAGTAGTAGTCATATTTCGTGAACCCTTTGAAGAGTACTGTCACACCGGTGTGATCATTCTATAATACACCATTTAAGCCCGGGGGAGAAATGCTAAGGCTAACGCTACATTAGCATCGGCGATCTTTTGTACTTCATGCTATCTGCACAAATGGTTGACATTAAACATTAAAAAGATCAGGCAGTTCAGAGAGAATCAAAGGAAGGCAGGCAGCTTTGCATGACATTCTTCTTGACGTGTTTCATTGTGGTGATAGATAGTGAGGGTAGTCAATCCCTTGTTTAGCAAGACAGTAGTGACGGCCATCTTGGTGTTGTATGTTGTTGTGCAAGACCAGAGATGTACATCGGTTTCCATCTTTTTTAAATGTACGTTTCCAGTTAGTTGAAATAGCTGAAAGCAGCTGGTTAAAGTGAAGGAAATCACATATCTGACCATACATACAACAAAAACACTGATATGAAATTAAATTTCCTGTGCTATCTAGTAAATCATTCATGAACATAATTCCTTTTCTCAGGAGACTTTCCCATAATAGTAGTTTTCCATCTATTAAAACTTCTGAGTTCATCATTGACCGTTTCACACAAAAAAACGTGTTACTTCACAGTTTTACGACACATTTTAATTTTTTTGACTTGCAAAATTATCTTTTAAATTGACAAACATCATATGTGTAATTCGTGGCACAATTCAAACGGGATCGAAAGATAATCTTTCTCTCTCCATTGACTTCAATACATCATTTTTCCGAAATAAGGTCCCATGCAGTTCCAGTGGTGCAGTGACGAGTCCTAATACCCGGAAGTGAGTTAGCATTTTACCACTTTCGGTTTCTTCGTCTCTGAGTCAATGGGATAACTCCATAGGATTTCGGAAAATAGCTGGAAATAAGGTCTGTGGTTGACACACATTTAAGAAACGGATCACGTTTTGTTCTACGACATTAAATACATCAGCAGTGACCCCACTGGTGATTTGTGAAGAGTTTACGTGTCTGAAAAACGATGGTTGTTAACAAGTGGCTGAATAGGACTACAGAACCTGTCGAGGACGTTGTACGTCATTACGCCGAACACACGTAAACACTCCCGCTAAGTTTGTTTGCCCCTGTTCAGCTTGAAAGCAAGTACCTGCCTCCTGCAAACTGTTAAAACAAACGCTTCAACTTGTACAATTTAGAATCTGTATTTTTGAATATGGATCTTAAGTTGGCGTGACGTTGAAGTTGTGCGACCCTGCTGTACTGGGCTGTAGTTCGTTTATAGCATAACGTTAGCATTTCGCTTCTGGCGATTAGATTTATGATTAAAATATTATAAAAGTAGGGTAGACATGTGGAAATTATCCGGCTGAACTAAACGCGCATTTATCAAACAGGTTTGTTTTCCACAGACCTTATTTCGAGCTATTTTCCAAAATCCTATGGAGAAATCCCATTGCTTTTTTGTCGAGGGAACCCATGGGCAGCTTACTTCCGGGTAAATACGTCATCCCTGCACCACTCTATGATGAATTGATTTGGAGTAAAATGACATGGCAGCTATTAAAAAAAAATCAATATTGCATTAACATAAGTATGTCCTTCTCATCCAGAGTATTACAATTGCATTAATCTAGAGCAGGGGTCTCAAATTCAAGGCCCGGGGGCCAAATCCGGCCCGCGACTTCATTTTCTGTGGCCCCACAAGAGCTTGCAAAGAATATAATATGTTATACGGTTACATGCCGATTTACAGAAGCACGTTGCCCATAAACTACATGTCCCACAATGCATCTCAAATATGCCTTCTTTCTCAGAATTTGACTTTTTTTCTTCAAAATATGACAATTTTCTTAGAATTTGACCTTTTCTCAAAATGTTACTTTTTTTGTGACTTTTTTTCCAGAATGTGGCTTTTCTTTTTAAATCATTTTGTGACATTCTCACTGAAGAGACTTCCAATTATTTGCCCTATCTTCTGCTTTCACATTAATTATGAAGTTATTACCCTATCCGATAATAATCCAATGCAGAGGCAATACTGTAATATAATACATTATTTTATATATATTAAATATCTATATATGTCTTTTTATATAGTCTTAAAGTTACAACCGGCCCTTTAAGTGCAACCATAATGCGAATGTGGCCCGTGATGAAATTGAGTTTGACACCCCTGATCTAGAGCCACTGGGAGAAAAGCAAGACCTTTTAATGAACAGCAGAAGTTTCATAAAACAAATAATATGAAATAAAACACTCCTTTACATCCAATATTAAGAGTGTAACTAACTTGCAAGGGTGTTGTTACTGTGTAGAAGGCTACTAATATGTGTATGGACCATGTCAATGGGTCACATGACAAGAAAGCTATTGGGGTAAAAAAAAGGAAAATATCTTCTATTGAAATATACTTTTAAAATCAATTCATGACACATTAGTTATTCTAAAAAAAGGGGTGCCACTTAAGATACATATCATATATTTCTTGAATAACTCTCATTAGCAGGGAGTTTGATCCCAAAGATAAACAACTGGTAAAGACAGAGGGCCAGTGAATGTGTGTCGAATATCCAACCCCTCACTAACTTCAGCTTAACATTAGCTAATTAGCTAACATGAGCTACAGTTCATGACATAGGCTACCAAAGTACTGCAGTTATACTGTAGCAGCTAAACCCTTATTGTGATACATTCAGGTTGTATTGCCATTGAATCCCTGCATGTTTAAAGAAAAAACGGAGATTTGACCTGCATACCAAAAGAGAAAGCAGTTGGCACAGCAGCTCAGGACGCACATCTCATGGAGGTAGGCTACTTAAAACACTTTTCGGAGTTATATTAAAGTAAATCATTAACACGTACGCTTTGCATTATTTCTAGTTTCATTGCCTTTGTACGTTACACAAACCGTTCAAGTTGTTTACCCCAAATCTCACAGTAGCCTACAGGGCAACACTTTACTTCCTGTTTACAACCACCAAAGCATTATGGGAGTGTACATTAACAGGCTTTTTTATGTCCTTGTAAAGGGGAAAACAAATACTAAAAGTGGGGGTAGGAAATATCAATATAGTTTTACGTGTTACATTATCAATATATGTTTTTAGGTTATACTGTATTTTATGAGAAGTGTCAAATAATGTTGTTCTTCGACATTTGTCTTGCTTTAGCCCGAGGAGGGTGGTCATTTCAGTCATAGAAAATGTTTGGCCTATATATGTGTTAGTATAATAAGTCACTGTCAATGTTTCTAATCTGCTGAATGGGAAACATCTAATTAGTGACACATTATCAATATAAGTACTCAAACAGGACTTCTTTATGATTCACTCAAATCGATGACACACATGGCTTTAAGAGGTGTTTATTTAAACACCAAAAACGTACACGCTCACTTTGGCAATCAGCAATTACACATATAAGACTCATCAGGAAGTGTGAGACACAGACCATTATGGAATACTCTGGATTTTGGCAAGCAGTTTACCTTGATTTAATGCTGTAAATGGCTATCAGACTGTTTTATTGGGCACCAAAAGCAGACTGGAGAGCATAGCATAGATGCCTCTACTGGTTGTCAAGCTAAAGGAAGGTCTTGATTGAAGTTTGCTGAGGCTACTGGCTTACTTTTTACCCTTTGTGCTTTTTTCTTCGGCAGCTTCGGATTTGGCCTCTTTCTCCTTTTTGGCGTCAGGTTTGTCATCTATTTTTGGAGCAGCTTTGTCATCTTTGTCGTCGGCTTTGTCGTCTTTCTTGTCCTCTTTCTTGGCGTCTTTCTTGGCGTCCACTTTATCTTCCTTCTGTTCACTTTTCTTCACCTCTTCCTTCTTGTCTTTCTCTTATTCTTTTGCGTCCCCATCTTTGTCCTCTGCTTCTGTTTTTACCTCCTCTTGTGCTTCCTCCTTGACCTCAGCTTCCTGTCCTTCTTCCTTGTCCTCTTTTTCCCCGTCATCTTCAGCTGCCTCTGTCACCTCTTCCTTTTGCTCTTCCTCATCACCACCTGTATTAAAAGAGGATAATTGTATTATTATTTAACACATTGAGGTTTAATTGAACAATTAAAACATTTAAAAAGAAAACAATGCACTAACCCTCTGCCTGTTCATCTCCCTTAGCCCCTTCTTCATCTTCTTTCTCCTTATCTCCCTCCTCCTCTCCTCCCTCTTCATCCTTCTTCTCTTCTTCCTCCTTGGTCTCCTCTGTCACTTCTCCTCCCTCTTCCTCCTTCACCTCCTCTTCCTCCCCAGGTGGGCTGGCCTCTGGTTGCTGGGCGTGGCTGGCGAAGATGATTCCCTCGGTGGTGCTGAGGCTGGAGCTGAGCAGGCGTGATGTCATCATGTAGGAGGTGCCGGAGCGCACGCTGGAGAGGAGGGGCCGGGAGTAGGAGGGTGCTGAGAAACTGTGGCTGTACAGAGAGGACACGCCCCCACTGAAGCGAGACTCATCCCCTTCCAGAAGCTTCCTGTAGAGTTTGGGAAATAGACAGAAAAGTCATAGTGGCCATTCATAAACATGCAACATGCAGTGTGTGATATCAAGTGTGAAAAGTACACATTTGTAATAATACATCTTTGAGCAGTGCCTTTTTGCAGAATGTGTAACAAAATAAACATATTTTCGAAAACAAAAGTTTGAATCAATTTTACATTTAGTTTTGCCATTCACTTAATGACATTAACTAATCTAACCAAATATAAACAAGCATGAGACATGCTTTAGCTTAGCTGTTTGAATTTATCCAGATGTTTATGCAGGTTACTTTTATCGGAGAGTTAACAAATACTTTGACCTTAAATTACCTTTTGAATGAACTACACATCTATGAAAACCTTCTATCTCCCCATAATCCGGTATTTATGCACCACTTTCAACAATGTAAAGCTTTATTTCCCAGAATGACTCTCACCTGTATGCAGCAATCTCAATGTCCAGAGCCATCTTGACATTCAGCAGGTCCTGGTAATCCTTCATGTAGCGTGCCATCTCCTGTTTGGTGCCCCTCTGCCACACCGATGCTTCACTGCGTCTCAGCAAATGAACAGAAAAACCACAATTCCCACGTGGCTTTGCAACTACAAGAGTCAGGATTCTACAACGAAAGCTTGTGCAAGTAGAAATGTTAACACTTACCAGTAAAGCTATATCCACTGTACAATAACGGCCACTCGCATATGAATATATTAGAACATATCCAATGTATTACAAGGATCTTCACATTAAAGCACCCACATGTGCAATGTCCTCTCGTAAGGCTGTCGGACAAATGTTTGACCTTTGATGTGGCAAGAAAATGAATAAATTGCTATTTAAATTAGTTTCTAGACATGAAAGGGTCAATTCAAGAATCAATGAATGGATTTAAGTTATTTTGAATTGAAAATAAATAAATGTGTAAGTTGTAATGATCTGTATACCAGTCAGAAATAACTTTGTTTTTGTTGTTATGTCTCTTTCATCACTTTTGAATGCTGTATAACATGTGTGCACTATTACACACTTATTTTATTAAAAAAAATTAAAAAAATTAGGCTACACAAGTCCTGCAACCACAACCACAACTACAACACTTCTAATGGAAAAGACAGATTCACATGATCGAGCTGGTGTATACTCAAGTTTAAGTGACAAGGCGAGCATGGCTCAACAGTCCTTAGTCAGCAATATTCAGCAGATACACAGAAAAACTGTCTGTTAAAATCCATGCATTCATTGTTCGCTTCAATATTGCTGTCATTTCAACAGAGAAAGTCTTTTTTATATAGAAAATAAGTAGCTGTTCGCTGTCCATGCTGAAATAAAAGCAAAGACTCGTTAAAATGCATATCTTGATTAATTAAATAATGAAACTGATTTTTTGGGGGAGATTTCTGAATGTTTTACCTTTGAAGCATTGGGTGCATTATTAACTTAAGGGTACGGTTTGTCTTCAAATCAGACTCCCACACAGGTCCCACAGCCCACGTGGTTCAGAATGAACGGGGGCCCGGACCATTCGCAGACCGCCTGAGGGGGACGGCCCCTCCCCTCCCTTCCATCAGTGGACGAAACAAAACAGCTTGGACCTGCCTTGTTAATGACAGAGCCTCAGATATATAAGGAGCCGGCGAAGGTTGTGAAAGACGCTGAGAGCCATACACCCCTCACCTGCACACACACATAACACACATACACCCACATACACACGCCTTCACCTCCTGCACTCTTCATCCCCGCCACACATCACCGGACGAGTTACACGGTGGACACTTCAGGGAGCCCATTCAGGAGAATTATGGATACTAGGACGACCGGCTACGGCTACAGCCGGCTCCGGCAGCTCCCCCTCCAGCGGGTTCCGCTCCCAGTCCTGGTCCCGGGCAAGCCCCGGCTCCACCATGACCACGTCCTACAAGAGGAGCGTGAATATGCCGGTGTCCCGAGCCTACAGCTCCACGGTGCTCAGCTCCGTAGATAGCGGTGACTACCAGACCTCCATGATGAACGGAGACTTCAAGCGATCCAATGAGAAGGAGCAACTTCAAGGGCTCAACGACCGTTTCGTTGTTTACATCGACAAGGTGCACTACCTGGAGCAGCAGAACAAGCAGATCGAGGACGAGATCCAGGCGCTGCGCCAGAAGCAGGTGTCCCGCTCCCAGCTGGGCGATCACTACGACCAGGAGCTGCAGGATCTGCGGTCCATGCTGGAGCAGATTCACCACGACAAGACGCAGATCCAGCTCGACACCGACCACGTCGAGGAGGACATCCAGCGGCTGAGGGACCGTTATGACGAAGAGGCTCGCATCCGGGAGGAGACCGAAGCCATTATCCGCGTCCTGAGGAAGGACATGAGCGAGTCGGAGTTGGTGAAGTCGGAGTTGGATAAAAAAGTTCAATCTCTGCAGGATGAGATCGCCTTCATCCGCAACAACCACGAGGAAGAGGTGAGCGAGCTGATCGCCCAGATCGAGGAGTCTCAGGTGACCGTGGAGAGGAAGGATCTGCAGAAGACGGACATCACCGAGGCTCTGCGGGAGATCCGCTGCGAGCTGGAGGGTCACTCCAACCAAAACCTGCAGCAGGTGGAGAACTTGTTCATGTGCCGCTACTCCAAGCTCACCGAGGCTGCAGATCAGAACAAGGATGCCATAAAGTCCGCCCGTGATGAGATATCAGACTACCGCCGCCAGCTCCAGTCCAAGACGGTAGAGTTAGAAGCCATCCGCAGGACAAGAGAGTCTCTGGAGAGGCAGCTGAATGAAATCGAGGACCGCCACAGCAGCGATCTGTCCAGCCTTCAGGTAGGAAACAGCCACAGAGCCGTGCGTAAAGGCGGAACACACCGTTGAAATATGCTTTTCTGTACATATGCAACTTATTTTGTTTATTTATGTGCGATAAACTTAAAAAATATGGTTGCAATCTATGATGGATTATTATTCATATTTAATATTGTGTATAGCTTATTGACGCAGTTTTTATTCAAGGAATTTAAGAGTAGCAAACTGGATAAAAAGGATCGTATTTGATCATTTTCTATATCGTGTTTAGGTGCTTGTGTGTCACATTTTTCTGCTGCGTAATGATTGCTACAGTATGGGCTCATACTTTCTAACAAAATCCGTCTCGTGCCAGGAAATGGTTAAGGGGAGACACTGCAGCAAACAAGCCCCCCCTCTCTCCCTCTCTCTCTGTGTAATGCTGAGTCAGGGCAGAGGCATGGATCGATGCTTTCATTGGCTCTGCATGTCCTTACATCTCCCCCTTTAGGGGCAGGGGTGGGGGTGTATTAACAATAAGTATGGAGGATGTACTTGAAAAATAGGCATTTAACATAATACTGTATTGCGGCATAATGTATCAAAGCAACCGTTGTTGGTGCAGTGTACAAAGTTTACACAAACATGTGCACAGATAACAATTGGGGCTAAATTAACAGTTTTGATACAAAATGTTTTTAGAAAAAAATCGAAAAGGTACCATGAATAATTAATTATGATATTTAAAGCTGCATTAATGAATCTGAAAAATGGACGCTCTGCAAGTCATTGTTTGTACTTCATCAACCTTGGGTTGGGTCTGCTCTGTTTGTCCTCAGGAGACAATTCACCAGCTGGATAATGAGCTCAAGAGCACCAAATGGGAGATGGCACGTCACCTGCGCGAGTACCAGGACCTGCTCAATGTCAAGATGGCATTGGACATTGAGATTGCTGCATACAGGTATATATGGACATGCATTTAACATGTACAAAGTACTAGAACAACTTTATTTAATGTAATGTTATACAATTTAATGTCATTTTACATAATTTTGTACAAATCTGTTTCTTCCCAGGAAACTCCTAGAGGGCGAGGAGACTCACTTCAGCACTTTCCCCTATCGCCAGGCGGTCACCCCCACTAAAGTATTTAAGTCTAAATCCGACGCTCCCAAGATTAGGGTGCAACACAAGTTTGTGGAGGAGATCATCGAGGAGACGAGGGTGGAAGATGAGGCGACTGACCTTGACGAAGCCCTGGCAGAGATAGCACAAGAGCTGTCCGCTACACTCGGAGGTGGAGGAGACGAGGGAGAAGAAGAGGAGGGGGAAGAAGGAGGTGAGGGAGAGGAAGAAGAGGGTGAGGAGCAAGAGGGGGAGGGGGAAGGCGTTGAGGAGGAAGTTGTAGCCGCCACCAAAGCCAAAGTTAGCTCTAGCGCACCTGCTAAGGAGGAAGAAGAAGAGGATGATGGAAAAGATGAGGATGGGGAAGGAGAGGGAGGTGAAGAAGAAGAGAAGGAAGAAGATGGTGAGGGGGAAGATGAAGGAGAAAAGGGGGATGATGCAGAGGGAGGTGATGAAGTAGAAGGAGACGATGGAGGAGAGGATGAGGAGGAAATTGAGGAGACAGTGCTCTGCTCCAAAGCGCCCGAGTCTAAAGCCTCTCCTGACCAAGAGAAGGCTGGAGACAAAGAAGGCAGCGGAGGAGAAGAGGAAGCTGGTGCCGATGAGGAAGATGGAGAACAGGACGAAGATTCCGGCAGTGACAAAGCCTCCAAGAGCGTAGACGAGAAAGAGGATAAAGAGGATGCTGAGAAAACCACAAAGGAAGATAGCAAAAAAGACGAGAAGAAAGAGGAAGAAGTTGTAGCCAAGACAGACGCTTCAAAAACAGAATCTGCAAAGCCCGAGTCCAAGAAAGAAGAGGCAGCCAAAACTGAGGCATCAAAACCTGATTCCCCAAAGTCTGAATCTCCTAAACTTGGATCCCCAAAGTCTGAGACCCCTAAACTTGGATCCCCAAAGTCTGAGACCCCTAAACTTGGATCCCCAAAGTCTGAGACCCCTAAACTTGGATCCCCAAAGTCTGAATCTCCTAAACTTGGATCCCCAAAGTCTGAATCTCCTAAACTTGGATCTCCAAAGTCTGAGACCCCTAAACTTGGATCCCCAAAGTCTGAATCTCCTAAACTTGGATCTCCAAAGTCTGAGACCCCTAAACTTGGATCCCCAAAGTCTGAATCTCCTAAACTTGGATCCCCAAAGTCTGAGACCCCTAAACTTGGATCCCCAAAGTCTGAGACCCCTAAACTTGGATCCCCAAAGTCTGAATCTCCTAAACTTGGATCCCCAAAGTCTGAGTCCCCTAAACTTGGATCCCCAAAGTCTGAGTCCCCTAAACTTGGATCCCCAAAGTCTGAGACCCCTAAACTTGGATCCCCAAAGTCTGAGTCCCCTAAACTTGGATCCCCAAAGTCTGAATCTCCTAAACTTGGATCCCCAAAGTCTGAGTCCCCTAAACTTGGATCCCCAAAGTCTGAGACCCCTAAACTTGGATCCCCAAAGTCTGAGACCCCCAAACTTGGATCCCCAAAGTCTGAATCTCCTAAACTTGGATCCCCAAAGTCTGAGACCCCTAAACTTGGATCCCCAAAGTCTGAATCTCCTAAACTTGGACCCACAAAGTCTGAGTCCCCTAAACTTGGATCCCCAAAGTCTGAGTCCCCTAAACTTGGATCCCCAAAGTCTGAATCTCCTAAACCTGAGTCCCTTAAATCTGAAATTCCCAAGCCTACATCTCTGAAGCCTGAATCCCCAAAAGCAGAGTCTCCCAAGTCGGAATCTCCAAAACCTGAATCTCCTAAAGCTAAATCCCCAAAGACCCCCCTTCCCGAGACCCCTAAAGCCGCTGAAGAGAAATCAGAGAAAAAGAGCGACCTAACAGAGAATGTTGAAAAGAAGGATGTTGCCATGAACGGCGATGAAGACAAGAGCAGCCCAGAGGAGAGGAAGGACGAGGAGAAAGAAACCGACGTGGTCTCTAACGGCGTTGACGAGAGTACGGTCAAAGAGGACGGTAGCCAAAAAGTAGTGATCACCAAAACCGTGGAGACGATCACCACTGGAGAGGATGGATCCAAGCGCGTCACCAAATCTGTAACAGTGACTGAGACAGTGAAGGACGAGGTGGAGGAGGTGAAAGAGGAGGTGCTGGTGTCCACCAAGAAGACAGAGAAGCACTCCTCCCTGTCCATCAAGCAGGTGACAGAGGGCGAATAAGCGGATTCCTGACCGGCGATCTTGCGGAGATGGGCAAGTGGAGATGACAAGCAATCAACCCAAACTAACATAACAAAGAAAACCATACAGCTAGAGCGATGTAATAAAGATAACAACTCTCGAACATACAAAACAAATCATAGAGAGAAGCCAAACCTTAAATGCTACGAATTTCAAAAATGCATGTTGAGTGACAGCTTTAAACGGGCTTTGCTGCAGTCAGTAGCAAGCGACTGAGACATGTTATCCTCTTTTTCTTTCTTTCTGCAGTTCACGGTCGAGCTCACGGGAGGGAGGGAGGGAGGGAGGGGGGTCTCTGCATGCAATAGCTCAGGAGAGGGGGGAGTACTTCACTTCCTTATCTGTATGTATGGTAAATACACTGTAAAAAGAGTAAATATGTAAAAGGAATAAATGTAACGTGGGTGGGAGAGTGAGATGTATAATTGAAGTTGAGTTTTTTTGACGTTATGTAAAAGGAGTGGGAAAGTAGGTGGGAGGGTCCCCAAGTGCTCTACTGACGACGCCTTACTTGACAGGTGACTGAGCCAAAAAGAAACTAACAACACAACGTACAGAGAAGAGAGAGACAGGCAGCGGTATGATAAACACATGGCCGTAAACATCCAGTAACTGAAGCAGTTGAACAAACATGAAGAAACTCCTTAGCCTTAAACACGCTTTCTATCAGTGTCTGTTATGTTTCACTGAGTGCAACTGAAAAAGATATAACTGTAAATGTGCATTTTCATGCGTTCTTGTATGCATAGGATGGACTTGAATTTAAATACAGAAATAAATGAGGTGCTACTGTTTGCAATCCCATGACTTTACTCATCATGAACGATTTCAGCATTTGCTTAATAAATGTCATAATGAAGAAAAAACTAAAAAGAGTGTGTCTGTTCATTTTATGTATCTGTGTATGTTTAGCAGTTGTATGTTCTCACATTACACAAGAGGAGTTACATTAGTTGAAAGTACAACAACTTTAAAATAAATGTTTGATTATTTAATTAATGGCTTTAAGTTAAAAAACATATATATTCCAATGTGATCCAATGTGGTCAATTTGTGCAATTAAAATAGAACTCAATGACAGAATATGAATGATAGCAAACTATGGAAATTACGATTCTTAAATACTAAAAGGTAATATAACCCCCCCCCCCAAAAACAAACAAAAACAAGCTGACCGCAAGACCAAGCCAACTACATACAACATTTGAAACCTCAACATTGTAAAACCTGAAAAAACATCTTCCTTAACCCAAAAGACAGTAACTAAACTAATCCAATCTTTATAGCATGGTCACTCAAACCTCATCAAACATTCCAAAAATGATATACACACCTACATTTCTTGAAAATGCTCAACGGCAATAACTTAAAAGGAAATTCACTAAATAATTAAATTAATTTATATAAGTAACATCCTTGGTAGATAACTTAACAAATAACATTATAATGTTCATATATTCATAATAACATATTATTGAAATGTAAGTGCTGCTTTTGATCATAAAACAATTTTGGTCTGATTATTTGCAGTTTTGAACACATTTACCAATAATGTTATTTGATTAAAAAAGGTTATCAATCGAGGATTTAACACATCTGATCTACTGCCGTTCCAGGATATTGCTTTATATTAATGTCATTTATCATCATGTTTAGGGGATACTTGATTTGATAGTGTGATAATGTTTGACTGCATATTAATTTCTTATGGCTGATGGGTTTTTTCAGCTTGAAGTTGGACTGCTGTTATTCATGGAAAATGTTACCACACTGATAGGCTGGGTGCAGTGAAATAACACTTAATCAGTGTCTAAAGTGTCATTATATTTTTTAAAACCCACCAACAGTGCTTTACACCATGCTGAGCCTGCTGCTGAAGACAATCTACATTTACCAAAGGGAGAACAAGAACAGAGCATCTGTCCATCCAGAAAAATGGCATAGAATATAGCAATATAAATTCAATACAAGAGGTGTGTCCTATTACTTGTCCAAGTTAGCTATACAATGATGCATGGATTTGGAGTCATTCATTCACATTACATGGAAGTTATGGAAAATAAATACAACTTTTTGATACAGAACAGCTGCATTTTCATAAGAATATTCATGTAAAAAAAGATAGAGGAATAACATCTAATAAAAGAGGTCTGTCCTACTTGTCAAGTGTCACCTGATATAAAAACATACAAGAGTTTTAAATGAATACACTGCAGAATGTCCAGAAGCAAAACATCCATATGTAATAGAAAAAGCCCTAAAATCCAATAAAAACAGATGTGTCGTCTTTGCCCACCGTAGTAATACAATAGAGTGGCGAAGTCACGCCCATCTACTTCCGGTCCATGGGACCTTTCTTCGGAAAAATTATGTATTGAAGTCAATGGAGAGAGAAAACTTATCTTTCGATCCCGTTTTAATTGTGTCACGAATTATACATATGATGTTTGTCAATCTTAAAAAATAATTTCCATGTCAAAAAAGTCACAGTTTGTCGTAAAACTGTTGAAATATAAGACTATGAAAAATACGCAACTAGAAAGACTACAAAGTACAAATCTCAGAGTCGCGTAAGTGATGTCATAACTGATGTCACAATTGTTTTCCTCCGCTAAATATAAGAGATAGCTAAGATAAGATAACTTTAACAAGATGCCTGTGTGCTTAGTACCAGGTTGTTATCATACCAGCAATGGGTCTTGCTCGTTCTTTCGCTTCCCGTCTGATGAAAGGACCAGGAGTTGCTGGATCACGTTAGCTACCAAGCAAGCACGTTAGTTAGCATTACAGCCTTAGCCTTGTCATTTTTATTAGCCTTAACATGAAGTTACATTAAGTAACCCAAAATGTTAATCAGTAAGAGTAGTAGTCATATTTCGTGAACCCTTTGAAGAGTACTGTCACACCGGTGTGATCATTCTATAATACACCATTTAAGCCCGGGGGAGAAATGCTAAGGCTAACGCTACATTAGCATCGGCGATCTTTTGTACTTCATGCTATCTGCACAAATGGTTGACATGAAACATTAAAAAGATCAGGCAGTTCAGAGAGAATCAAAGGAAGGCAGGCAGCTTTGCATGACATTCTTCTTGACGTGTTTCATTGTGGTGATAGATAGTGAGGGTAGTCAATCCCTTGTTTAGCAAGACAGTAGTGACGGCCATCTTGGTGACGTATGTTGTTGTGCAAGACCAGAGATGTACATCGGTTTCCATCTTTTTTAAATGTACGTTTCCAGTTAGTTGAAATAGCTGAAAGCAGCTGGTTAAAGTGAAGGAAATCACATATCTGACCATACATACAACAAAAACACTGATATGAAATTAAATTTCCTGTGCTATCTAGTAAATCATTCATGAAAATAATTCCTTTTCTCAGGAGACTTTCCCATAATAGTGGTTTTCCATCTATTAAAACTTCTGAGTTCATCATTGACCGTTTCACACAAAAAATGTGTTACTTCACAGTTTTACGACACATTTTAATTTTTTTGACTTGCAAAATTATCTTTTAAATTGACAAACATCATATGTGTAATTCGTGGCACAATTCAAACGGGATCGAAAGATAATCTTTCTCTCTCCATTGACTTCAATACATAATTTTTCCGAAATAAGGTCCCATGCAGTTCCAGTGGTGCAGTGACGAGTCCTAATACCCGGAAGTGAGTTAGCATTTTACCACTTTCGGTTTCTTCGTCTCTGAGTCAATGGGATAACTCCATAGAATTTCGGAAAATTGCTGGAAATAAGGTCTGTGGTTGACACACATTTAAGAAACGGATCACGTTTTGTTCTACGACATTAAATACATCAGCAGTGACCCCACTGGTGATTTTTGAAGAGTTTACGTGTCTGAAAAACGATGGTTGTTAACAAGTGGCTGAATAGGACTACAGAACCTGTCGAGGACGTTGTACGTCATTACGCCGAACACACGTAAACACTCCCGCTAAGTTTGTTTGCCCCTGTTCAGCTTGAAAGCAAGTACCTGCCTCCTGCAAACTGTTAAAACAAACGCTTCAACTTGTACAATTTAGAATCTGTATTTTTGAATATGGATCTTAAGTTGGCGTGACGTTGAAGTTGTGCGACCTTGCTGTACTCGGCTGTAGTTCGTTTATAGCATAACGTTAGCATTTCGCTTCTGGAGATTAGATTTATGATTAAAATATTATAAAAGTAGGGTAGACATGTGGAAATTATCCGGCTGAACAAAACGCGCATTTATCAAACAGGTTTGTTTTCCACAGACCTTATTTCGAGCTATTTTCCAAAATCCTATGGAGAAATCCCATTGCTTTTTTGTCGAGGGAACCCATGGGCAGCTTACTTCCGGGTAAATACGTCATCCCTGCACCACTCTATGATGAATTGATTTGGAGTAAAATGACATGGCAGCTATTAAAAAAAAATCAATATTGCATTAACATAAGTATGTCCTTCTCATCCAGAGTATTACAATTGCATTAATCTAGAGCAGGGGTCTCAAATTCAAGGCCCGGGGGCCAAATCCGGCCCGCGACTTCATTTTCTGTGGCCCCACAAGAGCTTGCAAAGAATATAATATGTTTATTATACGGTTACATGCCGATTTACAGAAGCACGTTGCCCATAAACTACATGTCCCACAATGCATCTCAAATATGCCTTCTTTCTCAGAATTTGACTTTTTTTCTTCTAAATATAACAATTTTCTTAGAATTTGACCTTTTCTCAAAATGTTACTTTTTTTGTGACTTTTTTTCCAGAATGTGGCTTTTCTTTTTAAATCATTTTGTGACATTCTCACTGAAGAGACTTCCAATTATTTGCCCTATCTTCTGCTTTCACATTAATTATGAAGTTATTACCCTATCCGATAATAATCCAATGCAGAGGCAATACTGTAATATAATACATTATTTTATATATATTAAATATCTATATATGTCTTTTTATATAGTCTTAAAGTTACAACCGGCCCTTTAAGTGCAAACATAATGCGAATGTGGCCCGTGATGAAATTGAGTTTGACACCCCTGATCTAGAGCCATTGGGAGAAAAGCAAGACCTTTTAATGAACAGCAGAAGTTTCATAAAACAAATAATATGAAATAAAACACTCCTTTACATCCAATATTAAGAGTGTAACTAACTTGCAAGGGTGTTGTTACTGTGTAGAAGGCTACTAATATGTGTATGGACCATGTCAATGGGTCACATGACAAGAAAGCTATTGGGGTAAAAAAAAGGAAAATATCTTCTATTGAAATATACTTTTAAAATCAATTCATGACACATTAGTTATTCTAAAAAAAGGGGTGCCACTTAAGATACATATCATATATTTCTTGAATAACTCTCATTAGCAGGGAGTTTGATCCCAAAGATAAACAACTGGTAAAGACAGAGGGCCAGTGAATGTGTGTCGAATATCCAACCCCTCACTAACTCCAGCTTAACATTAGCTAATTAGCTAACATGAGCTACAGTTCATGACATAGGCTACCAAAGTACTGCAGTTATACTGTAGCAGCTAAACCCTTATTGTGATACATTCAGGTTGTATTGCCATTGAATCCCTGCATGTTTAAAGACAAAACGGAGATTTGACCTGCATACCAAAAGAGAAAGCAGTTGGCACAGCAGCTCAGGATGCACATCTCATGGAGGTAGGCTACTTAAAACACTTTTCGGAGTTATATTAAAGTAAATCATTAACACGTACGGTTTGCATTATTTCTAGTTTCATTGCCTTTGTACGTTACACAAACCGTTCAAGTTGTTTACCCCAAATCTCACAGTAGCCTACAGGGCAACACTTTACTTCCTGTTTACAACCACCAAAGCATTATGGGAGTGTACATTAACAGGCTTTTTTATGTCCTTGTA